CAAAGACTTGTCAAAAGTCATAAATGCAACGCTACAATTATATGCACATCTCTGACAAACTACAATTATATACATAGTTAGGTCACTATGCACCCAAATGCCCAAAAATGGAAAGAAGTGCAAAGAAAATGATCAAAATTCTTGAAGAACAAGACTTTGAAATAATACATGGCGAATAAATTTTTGATGACGAAGAAATCTTGTATGAAATTTCTAGCGATGAAGAAAGTTCAGATGAAGAACTAATCTTCATGATAACTAATGCAGATAGTCAAGATATATCACAAGAAGAATTACAAGCAATTCGACTTAGAGATGTAATTGGAGAAGAAAAAACTTTTACCGAGGAAGAGTTGGCAAAATTCGAAAAAATGCAAGAAGTTGTTGTGCCAGAAATTTACAAACATTTAAAATTCAACTTTTTTTCAGCAAGAGTGTTTGAGCAATACAGTGGCAACACTCAAGCAAAATGTTCAGAAGAAGGAAATATTGATATTCCTTTTTTTGATAAGAAAAATGTTGCAAGATGGAAAAAGAAATATCCCGAGATTCAATATATCCATATTGGATTAATATAGGTAACCATAACAGCTTTATTTCGACAAGGGATAGATATTCCTATTTTGTCGGTAATTTTTGATAAAAGATTTTCCGACCCAATGAAAGCAATCATTGGAGGAATTCAATATAATTTGGCTAATGGAGTAGTTTGGTTTAATGTTGGACCAAATTTTTTTATTTCCATAAATGATCCTAATCTTGAGGACACAGTTAGAATAAGAATTAAAACACAGGGATTAAGAATGAAATTGATTTCTCATGATTTAGTTATTCGTTGGAAAACAATTCATGAATTGACCAAATTTCCTGAAACAAAAACAAGATCCAACGATAATAAAATCGTTGAAATCTGTGAACCAAGACCATTTGACATGGCAATCCAACCACATCTAATGAACTGGGGTGATTTAGAAGTCCCTCGACAATGGTTAATCCATGACCTAGTAGGACAAGGAGAATTTTCCAAAACAAAAAATCCTGCACAAATGCAAGCATTAGGAAAAAACTTATATATTCAAAATACAGTTCCAAAAATTAAAAGATCAACTCATGTATTGAAAAAGATTTTCTAACAAATTATTTTCAAAATTAAGCATTGGTGAATCGAGTAATAATTCTAATCAAGAATCTATTGCTTCGAAAAATGTTCAAATTCCTATTTTTCCAAGAACAAGAACACAATTTGAACATATTACAAGTGTTTCATCTTGATCTATTGTTTCTTCAGAAGAAGATGATTGATTATCATCATTATTAGTTGACATATTAATATGATAATTAAAGTGTTGTAAAAGGGCTTCATGTTCTACATAAGTTTCTCTTATCTGCTCTAGTAGTCTATCTCTTTGAACAACGGGGAGGGTAGATAGTGACCGTGTATATAATTGTAGTTTGCCAGAAGATGTGTATATAATTGTAGCTTTGCATTTGCGACTTTCGACAAGTCTTTGCATTTATTTGTGTAAGCCTATGAGTAGGTTTGAAGACCTTTGTAAAAAGTTGTGCAAAGTTTGGACGTATTCGGTGTTGTAATGTCCAATATATTAGGTATACATTAAATCTAGGATAGTTTTTTGATTTTGTTTGTTTATGAAGCTGTATCCTATAAATTGGCATTGAAGCCAATATAATGAAACAATATAAATTCCTACCATCTCTGCGTTTATTATTTATAGGCTAACCGTGAAGTTCTTAATATGCAAACAGAAATCAAATCCCAAAATAAGCATTACATAATAACTCTTAAAATCAAGGGTAAATCAAATAAAACCTTAATCTTACAAAATTCTTCAACCAATTCCTTTATGTTCCTCATCATCTCTTCCCAATTGAGAAAAACACTTCTCTGGAGAATTGTGAGAGAAAAGCACTCCAAAAAAGATGAAGTTCATGCTGTCTGAACCCAGATGGCATGACATCGATCCTTAAGCCAATTATTATCATAAGTTGCTTGAATGCCAATGAAGTGCCACAAATGATCACAAAGAGAGAATACTGGGTGTGGACTTTTCATAATATCAACTAGCTGGTATTAATGAGCCCGTTTGGTATTTATGATCTCAAATTTTATAGAAACATCAAGGAAAACAGGATGCTCTGAAGTGTTCTTATCAAGTACCATGTCTTCCATTTTGAAAATTGGACAGATATTGAAATTTAAAGAAAAATCAGTGAAATGAGCATGTGGATGTAGTCCATATTTAAAAATGGATAAAATATGTCCATGAGATGACAATGTGAAATGTTTGATTGTACCAGAGGCTTAAGGTACCGAAGTAACAACCATTTCCTGATGATTAAAGTTGTCCAATGTACATAAACCCCTCAGGCTACTAGCAACTAGCTCATAACAAGTTTGAAAGCTTCCAAGGCATGACACTTCCTCCAACCAAAAATTCTCTCTCTCAATGTTACTATAATCCCCATCATCCCACCATTGGGAACTAGCAATTGTAGCTAGTCTCACAAGTGCCAAGGCTTTTACATCAAAACAAACCTGATCGCTAGCTCTCCCCTTCTCAAGGGTTTTCTTCTTCTTCTTCATCTTCTTTTTTAACCCCTCATCTATACTACATTATAAGTGAACATGTCAGTTTGGTATTGACACTTTTTTAAAGCCATGTAATGGTTTTTTAATTTCCAAAATTGTCCAACAAAAATCATTTTTTGACTGATTGAAAATTTGTCTTAACTGTAAGGGTAAAGTTGTAAAATCCACCATTCAAAATAAACCACTTATCTAGTTGTTGTGGTTAAATTACGCACACGCGTACGTTTTGTGACTTCTAGTATATGATGTGTATGTGTACATGCATATGTATGTAGGTTTTTGTGTAGATATGAATACTTTTGTACTGTATATTTTGTTATTTTTTGCCAAATCAATTAATTTGTACCTCTGATCAATCAAATTTGCTACTTGTTCTTGTTTTGCTAAATGATTTTTTTCTTCTTAGCATTGAATTTTTTAATCAGTATATTCATTTTATTAAATTTCTCTCTTATGAGGTATAACGGATTGTTTGGGTCTTTGGTGTAGGTTTGGGCGAACCGATGACAATCCAAACTAATTGAATTAAGTTCAGGCTGGTCTTGGTTTAGCCAACTTAGGCTAAAAGTTGAGTCTGGTTAAAACCCCCTCGCAAGCGAGTTGGGTTGCTCTTTGTCCACTTAACCTGCCCGAGTTGTCGTCCTAATGTTGCCATTGACATTTTCTCTCTCCTTTGTAAAACCTTGACCTTTACAAATAAATTGTCTATATTGGAGATATAATGAGTCTTTATATTTATTTGTTAGTATCATTTTAATGAGCAAAAGAGTTGTATGTGCTTGGGGCTTGGGGCTTGGGGGTCACCTGGTGGTCAAGGCCAGCTTGGGGGTGTGCTCCCTCCAAGGTTTCAGGTTTGATACCTCCTAGGTGCAAACAATTTATTGGGGCCAGTCCATACAAGGCTTTGCCTTGGCATTATTTGGGACCCCCACAAGTGGACAGTGGGATTGGTCCCCCAGATTAGTCGGTCCAATGGGCTGGATATTGAGTTATCAAAAAAAGATTTGTATGTGCTTTTGGTTCCAAAATTCACGTGTAACAACATAAATTATGTATAACAGTGTGAATATTTATGCTTTTGCTTAAAAATCAGAATTTTGATGGTCTTGTGATTTCCACACATAGCGACTAGTCTCCAATTTTGAGGGGTAGAAATTTTATTTTTTATTTTTATGTAAGTCTTTTGTAGCTTTGTGTTAAAATGTATGTATTATTGATTGGTGTATTGATGTAGTATGTATTACAATTACAAAGATTCCTATTATATAGGAGTGTGTTTGGGAGTAGGTGGAGAGTAGGAGAAGTGTGGTAGGTGGTAGTGGTAGAGTGGGTTAGGTTTAGTGGAGTAGGTGAAGTGGAGGTGATAGTGGTGTAGTGGGTTAGGTTTAGTGGAGTAGGTGAGGTGGTAGTGGTGTAGTGGGTTAGGTTTAGTGGAGTAGGTTTAAGTGGGTGAAGTAGGTGGATTTTAACACTTTGTAGGAATAGAAAATGGTATACAGAATCTTACTAGTTTTTTCTAGAGGAGTTTCTTATAAGAATCTGATTTTTCTATCTGTTCACATCTTCATGGTAATCAAAAGTGGCATGCCTAATCTGTTTTGAATTCCATGTTTTATTTTTCTTTTCCTGCAACTTCTTGGCCCTTGAAATAAGGGGTCAATTCAGTAGCTACAGCCTCTTAAAGCATGAAAGGTGTAGCCGAAAGGAATTGCAAGGACCTGCATTACTTTTTCTGTACTATTCGGTTTACAGTTATCCTTTTTAATGCGGATACTAAATGCATTTCTTAATTAGAAAGTTCGCCTAGGGATGACAATTTTGCTGCATGCTGCTCCACCCTCGCATCCCCAGGCTGAGGAAGTGGGCGGGCCTCATGCCCCCACCCCTACACCGATTATATTTATTAAATATGTGTATAGTATATATATAATTTTATTTTTTTTAATATAATAAGATTAAAACACTAAAATATTACATAGCATTCATTTGTATTCATTAATTTCTCATCATATATCTTTTAACTGTAATTAATCATTATCCACAATTCTATCTCTAATTTTTGTTGGTATTCCCATTTTTGAAGTTACAAAATTAATCTGCCCCCGCCTTGCTTCGCTCCCGCCATCTCCCCGATTTGGCCTGTCCTTGAAATGATACCGGGCGGGGGCGGGACACTACAAAACCGCCTGAAAGCCACACCTGTTGCCATCCTTAAGTTTGCCTTACAATTTGTATGAGTTTCTTCCCATAATAAAAAATGGAAATTATCCATCTCAGCAGGTTTTGTCTCCCTTATTTTTATTAACCGATATTGGTAAATTGCTACAATACATTACATTTGCTTCTATTTTTTCACACTACTTAATTGTTCTTTTAATTCTTCTTGTAGGACCTTTTGAGGAGATTACACTCTCTTTATTCTCCCAAGGCCCGTGTATCATCACAAGGTTCTGTTGTAGCTTTGCCAGGTGACAAATGTGAGACTCATTCTTCTCTAAAACAACAAAATACATCTGAGGGATCTCCAGAAGCCTTAAAAGCCTCATACCCATTCAAAGGAGAGAATGATATGAAACAAGCAATTTTAAAATTATCTCAAAGAGTTCCGTGCTTTTGGTGGTTCCGTACATTCACATTTAAGTTTGGCAATGGTCAGCTGGTGATATCAAATGGGAAAATCGTGCTTGGCTGTTTTATGATTCTCATGTATTATGTTTTGCAGAGGAAGCAAGCCACATTAAAGAGGTAAGTGGTGCTTTCCATGTTGGTTGTTCTTCTGGTTATGATATACTTTTCATTTTTTTTACTTGCTCTATACAAGCCATCAATATCAACAGTCAAAAAAGGATTTATGTCTCCCTTGGTTTTGGATGTTTACCTTGGTTGTTACTTGTTAGTTATGATGTGCAATATCCTATGGAGAGCATATTGTAGATTGTTAAGAATCAAACATCAAATGTAAACTACCCCGTCCTTTTTTCTTTTGAGTGAAATGACAACTGTGCTCTTTCATAACTAAACAGTGAGCAGTGAAATTGGTGAAAAGGAGGGGTTCCATAGAAAGTATACATTTTAAAATCTGTTAACTACTGCATTCTCATCATTGTTAATTTATCTGTTTCTTACCACCTTTATTATGCATATTAGAACAGGCCAACATTTGGACATGCACTGTTTAGTTATTGTTATGAGAGATATATGGTGTTTGTAACATATGTTAGTACTTTGACCAACTTGGTCATTGTGGTTGACCAGGGTACAAATTTGGTTGACCAACTGGGAAAATTTTAAACAAGTGGTTTATAGCCATTGGAGGGCTATAGGCTATTTATACCCGCAACACTCCCATTTGGGGTTTCTTAATGAGAGAAGGCACTTAAGAGTGTTCATACACATCTTATACCATCACATACACCTTTGAGTGTGATTATTTAACCTAGAAGGGTAAGTGTGGCCTTCATTCCTTCATAGAAATCTTCCAAGAGCTAGCTACTTAGTAGTCTCGAAGTTCTTCGCTTGTGGAAGGTCCTGAAACACCTCCCTCTCTTGGATTGTCCCGAAACACCTCCAGTGAGTTGATGATGAAGGGCCAAACCTTAAAATTGGGTGATGTGCGGTGAGTCGATGACGATGGCTTGTTGAATTGAAGGCGCACAACAACATTTAGTGACCTATTTTGATAGAGAGGAGAGGTGGCGGTAGTGCTGTTGAGTTGTAGAACTGTTGTCGTCTAATGACTTTGAAACAGATAAAGGTCCTCCTTTCTCTCCTCTTCAATTCCGATTTTTTTGTTCTCTAATTTCTTAACCCCCTACAAGTCCTCCCTCAAACAAATCCATCTTCCCCCTTCTGCGATTGATATCAAAATAAGGGAATAAAATATAAGAAACGATCTATGATGAGCCAAAACTGAAATTGGATAATGGCATTTTCAATTCGGCACAATCGGGTCAGGTATGATAAAATTGAACCTATCCAACCTTTGAACAGCCATAGTATTAAGGGGTAAAATTTGCAGGAATTTGGTTAAAAAAATAAAAGATATGAAATTCAGAGGTATATATGAAAAGGAAATTCAGGGGTAAAAATTGAACCTATCCAACCTTAGGAGGTATATATGAAATTCAGAGGGGGCAAATTGAAAAGGGAATTTCAAAACTAGAGCATCTCCAATGGCAAATGCTATAATAGCATTGCCATCGTTATAATTTGGCAATGAATAGTAGCAAATTGCCAAATTATAGCAATGGTGCTCCAATGATCACATGCCATTTTGGCAAAACTCAACCCCACTTTTCCCTCTAATTTTTTAGGTGGTGCATAGGTATAGATTTTTTAGTGATTTTTTTATTGTTTATTTTTTTGTCTTTTATGACCTTTTTCAAACTTTTTCTTAAAAAATTAAATATTTACGTTCTACCCGACTAGAGAAATATAAAAAAATTAAAAAAAAAATGAAAAAAATTATAACAATGGTGCTCCAATGATGCAGTGCCATTTTTGCACAATCCCAACCAATTTTTTAAGTAATTTTTTGTTTCTGTTTTTGTTTTGTTTTGTTTTGTTTTTTGTTTTTTTTGTTTTTTTTTTTGTTTTTTTGTGAATCTCTTTTATGACCCTTTTAAAAAAATTTATAAAAAAAAATTAAATATTTAGATTATACCTACTAAACAAAAATTTAAAATTTAAAAATAAAAATCACTTGAGATTGTTGTTTGAAACTGCCATTAAAAAAAATAGTTAAAAATTATTTTTTTTGGATCATCAGACCACTTGGTCTCTTTCTCTCTCTCTCTCTCTTTCCATCTTTTTCATTCTCATCTCTCTCTCATTTGTGCTGTCGCAATCCAAAACCTTCTCGCCAACCAACCCCCCTCACTCCCTCTCATCAAGGACTGTGAGAGTCTCTCTTTCTCTCTCTCTCTCTCTCTATTGTTCTCTTCGATAAACAAGGGACTATTAGCAGGGGTCTCTTCCCGTTGCCTATCCTCCTCACTCTCTCTCTTCTCGTGTTCGATTGGTCTCTCAGAGTCGACATCCTAGCCCCCTCTTTTGCTTCATCTCTTTCGTCTCTCCCTGGTGAACATCAATTGACGAGAATCTAACATCACAAACCCCTCTTCGGTGAACATCAGTTGTCGAGATCAAAGATCACAAACCCTTTTCGCAGATCGCAGCCCTATTCGCAGATCGCATATCACAAGCCCAAACTCGTATGCATATTGAAATACAATTATTTTTTGTTTAAAATTTACTTCAGATTTTGGAATTTTTGCTTGAGATTGCTTGAGATTGTTGTTGTTTGCTTGAGATTTGTTGAGATTTCTTAAAATTTGTTTGAGATTATCAATAATTTTCTAGGCAAATTACACGTACACCTCCTGAGGTTTGATTAAAATACGAATCGCTCCCAATGGTTCTGAAAATTTTATTCCACCTCATGTGGTTTCTAATTTCATAATAAATCGCCCTTTTTATTAATAAATCAAATCAATTAACAGTTTTTAATGATATTAGAAATATGTTTCAATTAATAATTTAACTAATTTTATTATTGTATAGGAGAACATTTATGAATTTCATTTTTTTAGTTAATTCTGTTAAATAAAAAAATTTTGACAAGGGGATATTTGTAATTTTTCAAATCACAGGGGGCAATCTGTATTTTAAGCAAACCTCAGGAGGTGTATTTGTAATTTATCCTAATTTTTTTTGAAATTGATTATTGTTGTTTCCGGTGAATTTGTTTTAAAAAAAAGAAGCTGGTATGAATCTGTTTAAAACAGATCCAAAAAAAAAAAAAAAAAATGTTTAAAGAATTTTGTTGTTAATTGGGTGAAATTTGTTTTAAAAAAAATTAACTCTGTTTTTCGTAGTTTTTGCTGGGAAGGATGATAGTGGGAGGGAGGGAAAGAAACGGTTGGTTTTGGGTGAGTTGGCACAAATGGCATTTGCCAAAGCTTGTGTCAAATATCTTTGTGTCAAATTTGACACAAAAGCTTTGGCATTTGCCAAACATCTTCAACAATTGGAGAACCACTTTTGGTGCAAAGCTGCTATATTATAGCTTTGGCAGCTCCAATGACAAAGCATTAGAGATGCCCCTACCTCTGACTATGGAACCATTTGCGCATTGGAATATAAATGATATGTTAAATTCATAGTATTTTTTTGGAGGGTTGACATTCTGAGAATATTAACTCTATTTCATTTTGGGATGTGGCAGAAATTGATTTATCAAGAGGGATACTAAATGATCCCACCATATTAATTTGAAACCCCTACTTCTTTGGACCCCAAGACCAAAATTGATCCCCACCATTTTTTCCAAGAACACCCACCACTATCCCAATCTCACCCCTCTTTCTTGGACCCGCACCCCTACCATGTCTTTCCTCTGGCAGCTCCCTTTCCATAAGTCTCTCCCTGCCACTTCTCCACCTCCGACAGTCGCTTCCCAGCTACGCCCCTCTCCAAAAGCCTCTATAATCTTTGTTGAATTTGTTGGGATGGTTATTTAATATTACATTGAAGTCTATTTTTATTTCAGGATTTTCAAAAGACAAGCTTTGTCCATGAAGAAGGCTTTGGTGGACTTGTGGCAGCTTGCCTTTTCTTACCAAGTGAACCCTCTAGCTGCTGTTCAACCTGTCCCCGCTGCAACCCGTGGGACCCGCTAATGGTGCCGTGCTGTTTTACTGGATTCTTCTCAAGGTTATATAGCAAATTAGCAATCAGTAAATTTTTTTTTTAATATTATTTTTCTTTTTATTTTATTTTTTTTGAACTGGTACGGATAATTTATTTTAAGAAGAATTTCACTTTGTCCCTTATGGACTAAAGTGCTCTGTTGCAATCAGTGTACATAACAATAAAATGTTTATATCCAGGTCCCTTGTTAGGTAGCTAGTAGTGTATGGGCTCAAGAAGTTTTTATGATAGCCCTCATTGCTAGTGAACGAAAGCAATGTCAATAAATTCTGTGGACCTTTTATCTTGCTGTTTCTGAATAGTGCATCAAATGTTTAGCAGATGACTGGGCTTTGCTACTAGTTTTTCTCATTCATTCTTCGTAATATAACAATGCTAGTGTATACCCGTGCCTAAAGGCACGGTGCAAATAATGATGAGATCAAAATATAATTAAATATAAAATTATTGGATTAAAAGGTAATTTACCCCATTTGTTGCTAAAAAATTGAAGTCAAAATATGAATAAAGGTCTGGTTAGTTTTGAAAAGATTTTTTATTAAAAAAGTTTGAAAATATTTTTGGTCATATATTTTGAAAATAAATATTTCCCAATCAATTATTTAGAGTACGGCAAGTAACGCAATCATAAACATTTCATTTTTATTAAAAAATTTTTATGACTCTAAAATATAAACTTCATATCAATGCAAACATTAAAAATAAAAGCACCATTGCTATGCAAGTTAATAAAAAATTGTAAAGACAAAATAAAACATACAAACCAAGGTATTGTACGTTTGTTAACACTCTATAATTCAAAAAAAATTACACCAAACAATGCACACCAGCCAGTACTTTGCAATTCAAAAAAAAAAATTAAATTAAATACCAACCAACGCACACCAGCTATTGCTCTGCAATCTAAGAAAATTAAAATAGAAATGCACACCAACCAGTGCTCTGCAATCTAAAAAAATTAATTTAAATACCAAGTAATGTACACCTGCTGGTGCTACTGCTGCAAATCACATTGTAATAGTTCTTTGCAAATTATAAACCTGAAACTATGTGAGAAAAATCTAAGAAAAATAATAATAATTTAACTTGCCTACAAACAATGTGACATGAGAAAAATGTACTCCCAACACAACCTCACATCAATAAAAAACCTACAAATGTTATGAAAACTTTCAGATATAACTAATTAAGTTGAGAAACAACTAATACACCTAGACAGTTCAGTATAAATCTAGACATTGGGTCATTGAGTAATTAACAATATTTTTTGATTAATTATAAATCACTTATACATTTTTTGAGCAATACTAAATCACTTGTACATCCATGAAATACTAAATCATTTGTACATTCATGAAAAATATTAAATCACTTGTACAAAAAATAACAACCTTACAAAAAGTAACAACCATACATAGCAGTCAAATGTTTTTTCTAAATCACTTGTACATCTTTTGAGAATTTAAAACGAATAGCAAAAAGTCAACTCGTCTCTCCACTTTTCGAAATAAAACCATTGATAGCAAAATCGATAATAAAATCTAAAAATTAATAAGAAAATTGCAAATCAATAGTAAAACTTATCAACTTTAATAATTTAAGTGATAAAGTTTCCCATGATTTTGCAATTTTTTTTGGTCTTACCACTGATTTGCAATTTTTCCTAAATTAATTCCAGTAATTAAGTGTCACAGATAGAAAATACTTAATGGGTTACAATCAAGATGCGAAGAAATAAAAATATAAAAAAAATGACTTACCCTGCAATTTTTGTAAGCAATATTGGTGAAAATTCTACAAAGATACTAAGATCTTTTTATCCCCAATCAAGCATGGGTCATTCGCTATTTTAATTCATTTTCATATAAGACAATTAGCGAATGACTTGTGCCTAAAAACATTCCAAAAGGAAAGGCCAAAAAAAAAAAAAAAAAAAAAGAAAATGAAAAGGTGAAGAAAGTAGCTTCACCACATCTCAACTTTCGGTGCCTAGGTTGATAGGGATTTTTTTTTCTTTGTCCTTTTTTTTTTGTTCTTTTTGCTAATGAAACAAAGAAAAGTACAAGATCAGGGCAACGATGACTTAATAATAAGTGACAACACTTTTTAACAGATAAAGCAACCAAATTATTTTACCAAGAGCCATCTCAATTGCATGATGACCAACTTAGATTTGTTTAAAAGCAATTCTAGTTGATTTGAGTACGTTTCTAAACCAGAATAAAGAAAACAATTTGAAAAAATTTTCTTCTTGGAGAAAGGAATTTGTATTCATAGATTTCCCCCCTCATCATCTTAATCAAGTGGGACAAAAAAAAAAATGAAAGTTAAAGAAATCCCGTTAATCCTCAGCCAAAATGGATCCATCTTTGCAGGATAAACCCTGAATATATATATATATATATATATATATGTTGGAAATGGTTTGGAAAAATCTGGGTTTATAACAGATTTTTTCCTAACTTTGGTCTAATATTTAGATGGGACCTGTGTGTCGATTTTCGCGGGTCAAAGTGGTAACGCGTTCTATGCCGTGTTGTGATTCACGTGGTATATTTGGTTGCTCAAAACCATTACCGAGTGAATGGGAAATTGAAGCCAAAGAATCAAAATTGTAAATGTGAGTTTCTCCTCATCTCTCACTCTCTCAGAGCTCACTCTTAAAAGAACCACAGATCTGGCATCAACACATAGCAATCGCCGGTTTCAAAGAAAAGCACATCAAAGAAAAGCAAAGATAGAGAGAGTGCGAGGGTGTCGATGCGTATTTATACACACATTCCACTCTCGCTTCTCTTTCTCTTTCTCTCTCTCTGTAAATTGTGTTTGAAGATGGTGGATTTCGCTCGCGTACAGAGAAGCTTCAGGAATGCAACAAAGACAACGATTTCTCGGGCATAAGCATCAAGCCTAAAGGCGACAATCTCACGCATTTGGCCGAATGATTCCTGGTCCCCTCACTACTCCTTACGAAGGCGGCACTTTCAACATCGACATTATCTTGCCCGGTAATCTTTTCTTCTTCTTCTTTGTTTTCTTTCAATTTTTTTAGGGTTTTAGCGCTGATGTACATATATGTATATATGTTTGCAAAATTTGAGTCTGGAATTTAGTGTAGCGGGTTTTTAGTTCTATTCTGGTCAACTAAAAATTGTATATTTTTTGCTTCAATTTTAACCTTCTGTTAACATTTTGCTACTATAAGAGAATGGAAAAGTGACAAAATTGATATTTGAGATGTGGGTTCATAGTTCGGTTATAAAATGGGTTACGCGTAGGAGAAAGGGAAGATATATACACTCTTTTGCATATTGTAATAAACCAGTTTTTGAGTGATAATTTTGGTCATAAAATTGGAATAGGCGGCTTACATATCATTTTTTTATTCTCTTTCATAACAATATTAATAGAAGGTTGCGATTGAAACAAATAAAGTGATAACGGTTCATACTGGAGGGTGGTCATCCAATGCATTTAATGCACTACTTGAAAATCTCTTTTTGATTACTAGCTAGATACGGCTGGAAATGTGTTTGGAAAAATAGGTTTTAGAAATAGGAATAAGGGGTTTAATTTGAGGTAATGATTTGAAGTCTACATTTTGGTAGAAGGTAGTCTTTACAATTTTGAGGACAGGCTGGGGTTATAGTACTTTAGGAACTAGAAGTAGGATGGAAAACTGTGGAATTGCTTTCAGTAGAAGGTAGTGCTTTCTACAATATTTAGGGCACTTTGGAAATGCCTTCGTTTTTTTTTTTTTTTTTGTTATTAAAAAACAGAAAAACCGGAAATTGACGCAAAAGAAATTGTTTGATAAACTTTTTGGGAAAATCTTCTGGATTTTTGAAAATGTTTTTTGCATAATCATAAAGCCGTGTTTTCAAACTTTTGTTTCTAATGACACACAAAAATTAAAGACATCTAAAATGAAAATGGCACTAAACTTAGCCTGTTTTTCAAGAAAAGAAACTGATATTTTTAAGAGTGATTTTTGTTGATTTTTCTTACATTTTTATAAGAAATCGATCAGTTGATTTTTCTTAAACTTATACAGATAATATACAAGAATTTGATTTTTCTTACACTTTTGATGAGAGTTGGTTGGGTTTCACGAATTTGATTTTGATTTTGGGTTTGGGTTTGGGTTTCGCAATAAAATCAACCCATTTACTATCATTTGGTTCTATATTCCTTACTTATTAAGTGTTTGATAAAATGTTTTTATTGGATTAGTAGGCACACAATTGGAATTATTCTCTAAATCCAGTTGATGGTATCCTCTAAATTAATATTCCTCTAAAATGTTTCTTGGATGATTCCCATTATCCTCTAAATTCCATCAACTGGAATTATTGGGATAAAATTCCATTAACCATTCAATTTACACACAAAGAAATCTCAAAAGATGTCAGTATTGTTGGGTGGGTC